AAAACTACAGGAAGATCTAAACAAATTTTTCGAATGGTATGAAAAATGGCAGATGAAATTCAACGTGGACAAATGTAAAGTACTCAGTATAGGAGATGTAAACAGGGAGACCAGTTACCAGATGAACAACGATGCCATTGAGAAATCCGACTGCGATTGAGATTTAGGAGTAATGATAAGTAGGAACCTTAAGCCAAGTAAACAATGTGTATTTGCTCGAAACAAGGCTAATAAAGTACTTGGGTTCATAAAAAGGAGTGATAGTTACAAGACTAGCGAGGTCATCCTAAAACTATATCTTGGGCATGTGAGACCTCACTTGGATTACGCAGTTCAATTCTCGTCACCTTATTACAGAATGGATATAGAATCCTTGGAAAGATTTCAGAGGAGAATGACAAGGCTAATCCCGGGCATTAGGAACCTTGAGTACAGAGACAGGTTAAAGCATCTTAATTTGTACTCCCTCGAGAGACGTAGAGTGAAAGGCGATATGATAGAGTGTATAAATGGAAGTTAGGGCTGAACAAAGGGGACATTACAAAGGTACTCAAACTATCCAACCAGGAGCAAACTCGTAACAATGGTTTTAAATTAGACAAATTTAGATTTAGGCGCGAAATAGGTAAACACTAATTTGGTAACAGAGTAGTGGATGAATGGAACAAGTTACCAAATATTATCATTAACTCGAATACGCTGGATAGTTTCAAACTTCGGTTGGATGCTCATATGAACAATAGGGGTTGGGTGTAATTGGGACTGCCCAGTATGGGCCAATAGGCCCGCTACAGTAGGGTGTGTCATACGAAGGCGAATTTTTTTTTTTTTAGTTTGGAACATCGGCCCATGGTATTAATGATGTAGTTCTATGTGCAGAATCATGTGATATCTTCAGATTTGAACAGTTTTCATATATTGCTAGGTAAATTTTAACTTGAAATCTTATGAAAATTCAGTATTCCCACCCTTTTACCAACACCACTAAATAGCTTATTTAAAGTAAAGTAAATGTATCAGGTTAATTTATTAGGATGAAAATGATCCAGAATAGTGAAACGAATGATCTTGACACATTTATTAAATTTAATATTCCTTTAGAAAACAAAATCATCAAATACAAAACCCGGTTTTACTACGACGACCCGGTGTTGCTGCACACCATAGAGAACATGTCTTTCTTGCTTCTCTTTCTACTCATCACCTCCCTGCTGACCACCTGAGCTCAGATGTAGCCTTCCCTCCTCTCCTGGCTGTACACGTGACTGCTGGCCTCGCTCACTTGCTGTACACAACGCTCTATACTCTGGGTGTGGGAGGGCCAGGCAGGGACATCGTAAGTTGTCCAGGAAAGCTCTGACTTGAACATTGTAGGGGCTGCAGGTAAGAGGGCTCTGCCAGCCTGGATGTTATCCAGATCTATGAGATCAGTGAGGGTCTTGGCACCTAGATTGACTTCAGGAGTCTTCCTGACCCTGAAGGAATCATCACCAACTGATTCGTCATGCCCAGATCCTCTCATAAGTCTCATATCCAAGATCTTTTTGACTGCCACTTTTCTCTCCTCCTCATCCTTACTGCAGAGCATTGTCTGCAGAACTGCCTCGGGATGAGCATACCAGGAAGATATCCTCACAGTCTGCTCCACAATCTGAACAACCTTCCTTGGCTGACTCCTCAGGAGCTCAAGCTGGAAGAGAACATGCCTCGGACCTTCGGAGAACGATGACTTGACCTTGGTGTTGAACCAATTTGGCAAGTAGACACTCACGATGAATTGGACAATAAGTCTCAGGTTGTGAAGCTGGTTTCCTTTCAGTTTATGATGAGCGACCCAAATTCTGCAGAACCTGAGAGCCGTTGTGAGCTACCTAGAATGTGAGACTGGACCTATCTGCAGGTAAGCAAGTCTATCAGGCATGACCCCAGTTTTGATGGCACTGCAAATCATGTAACCATAGTACTGGTCAGTACTCAGGTCGTCAATGACAGTATGTGCAAGCTCAACGAGTGGAGGGCCAATTGTGATTTTTTCAAAGCTCGGATTTATTTCTAACTCAGTGGCAGAGTCCAGCATCTTGCCAAGAGGACCAGACCATCTGTTGTTTGAAAGAGTCTTGCCATCCAGCCTCCTGGATCAGATGTCTGAGGGTAACTCGTTGGTGTGGAGGTTAAACAATCCAGACCAGCTTCCTCCCAATCTTCCGCTTATCCATTGTATGACCTCTTGCCACCCTGTGTTCGTGTTGTGCTGTCCTCCAATGGATTCGAAGGGTCTGGTCTATGTTCCTCTCTCTGAGCCAGTTCACAATGTTATCTGCCACTATCTCAGCTGGTTTCCTGATGTCATCTTTCTCTGGAGTGAAATGCCACAAATACTTCCCTCCTGGTTCATTGCAGCAGGAGTAGTGTTCCTCCTTCACCATGGCAGGGAACAACTTGTCAGAATCTCCAACTTTCATGAACACTTTAGTGTCATCCCTTCTCCCATCAAAGAACAAACAATTGATTCCATTTTCTCTTATCCCCTTATCAAACTCCTCTTCTAGGTTACTGACAAGTTTCTCCTGAGCTCTCCTTACTTTGTTATGATCTATCACCAGGTGAACATCATCAGGTGTTATTAAACCACCGTCAATCCAGGCAGTTGTTGCTATCTCTGCAGTTTCTCTGAGACCAGTGTGGTGTCGCATGCTGGCCAGAGCTATGCTCGGGATATCTTTCCTATTTCGAATCTTATGCCTGGAAGGTTTGGGATCATTATTTTCTGGGTTAGGGACAAAGTCACCATTCTCCTGGTCAGCACTCGGATCAGCTATGGGGAAGTCATTAAACTCTGAATCAGCTTGACTCCAATCATCGGCCTTTTTTACCTCACCCTGGGCCTTCTCAAGTCTCTTTTCCTCGGCAACTCTTCTCCTCTTCTGTCTCTCTGTGGCAGCCTCCTGTCTCTTTGACTCCGGAATATCTTGGCTAGAAATCATGAGAGTCTCTATACTGCCAGTCTCTTCTTGGTGTTTTGGACAACGCACTGATCACAGGAATCTTCAGTTCACGCTTGCAAATACAGGAGATGTGGGCCTCGGATTTACAGCGTCACATGATCGCATCCAAACTCAGGACAGAGAACAATTGGGCACTTGCAAGTAATTATGTCGAAATAACTGGTCCAGTTGCTTGGCAAAGCTGTCCCAACCGTAAGTTTTCCTCTCCCAAGAGAGATATCTTGCCTTTTCCCAACTGGCTAGCAGTCTTCACTAATCTTCTTCTTAACGGCGGCGACTGGAGGCTTGAACTGGAGCGTTAGCCAGAGTGTACTGTGCCAAGACAGCTTTGGTCATATCACTGGCAATGTCTTTGTTTGTGTAAGTTCTTTGGTTCTTTTCACTGATTTGCCTGATTAAATCACCGTATCTCAAAGCATCTCTCAATGTAGGCAACTCCGACTTCAGGAGCTCTCTCCCAGACCCAAGATAGTGACTGAGATGGCTGGATTTTTGGTTCCTCGTCCTGACACAAGCAGCCATCGCAAATATTATCAACTTATAAATGCATCAGAATCTGAAACAGAAAAAATATTGTTAGTTGGGTTGTTAAAGAATGAAGTCAGAAAGCAATGTTCACTATTTAATTGTAATGCACTAATGCAGCTGTACGTTAGATTTTCGATAAATTTCACGCTAAAATTTACCTAGCAAAAGGTTGCAAAATATTGAAACTGAAATTATTTTCTGTTTATATACACTAAAATCTACCAAAAAAGTGATGGGCCATTAGTTTTAGCTGATCTTCCCTCCTATGACACACCCTACTAGTTACTCTTGTTCCGGGAGGAACACCTGAGGACTTAATTCCCGGCATCCACCCGTTGGGTTGGGAAATGCCGGCTGATAGTTTTACTCCTGACACCGACTACTGTGTGTCAGAGCTGCTTCCCAAATTCTCTTGGTGTTGTCTGGGTATTTTTTTTTACTTATTATTGTTAGGTATAATATTTAGGATGTTTAATTTGGAATTTATATAAAGTTCCATTCTGTTTTGCCTTGTAATGTTCATGCGTGAGTTTTCCTTGTAAATGTATTGGTTTCTGTTCTGTGTATTTTTCACTCTGTATTTTCTTCTACACAAATAAAAAACAATTGACCTATCGAAGCGTGTCTAGAGCACTTTGTAAAAATACTATAAGTGCATTAAAGCAATTTTATTATAGAGCAGTATTCTCCCAACCTGACTTAGATCTGCAATAAGTGAGAGGCCTGGCTTAGGTACCATCATTTAAATATTTAATTGCTTCAATAAGCATTTAATTTACAACCATGGGAGGATTTTTTCTTAGTGAACTTGTGAAGGATTGCAGTGGCAAAAGCATATAAAATTGAATTCAAACCTTCAATGACTAAGAGTATGATTAAGAAGTCGGTTAACTGAGAATGATATTTTACTTGATTGTGCTTTGGAATTATGT